CTTGGGGGGGGGGGGGTTTACTTGCACTAAAGCTGCATATTTCCAAAGCCAGGGGACTCGGTAGCCATGCTTGGCCAGCAGGAACTAGTGATAAAGGCCATTGAAAATTTCCCAAGTTCTCTGTATTTAGAGAATATAAGCAAAATATCCTGGAATGTTTAAAATGTAGTGCAGCCCTGTTATTGAACTCTGGAAAATCATGCGTGTAGTTGAGGGCTTATATTCTAATAAGCCGTAGTGTTGTCGTAGTGTTAACTTCCCTTACAAAGCGCACAACATTTTAGAATGGCAGACTCCGGTGCTGGCCGTGGAGGATTCAGAGGGGGTTTTGGTACCCGTGGGCGTGGGCGTGGTCCACGTGGTCGTGGCCGTGGACGCGGACGTGGCCGTGGCAAGGAGAGTGACAAGGAGTGGGTGCCCATCACCAAGCTCGGCCGCCTTGTCAAGGATGGCAAGATCAGGACACTGGAAGAGATCTACCTCTTCTCTCTGCCCATCAAGGTACGAATGTTTGCCCTGTTTGAAGATTTCATATTTCCTGTTATTTGATGCTCAAAAACTTGGGTAGACATAGGAGTCAGAAAAAATTGGCTCTCCAGCTTGCCTACTCTTCAATTAGAAGATAAAGGTCTGTTACTTTGTACAGTACTCAGAATGAAGTGCACAAGCCCAGTGACTTTGAAACTAAACCTTTTAAGTTTCCTGCATGAGAAAGGTGGTTATTGTGAATTATAGCTTTCAACTAGGAGTAAGATGTAAGCTTTATAAGGTACAGAGTTAGGAGTTTATCTGATAGATTTATAGCAAAGCAAGGATTAGGTTTTAGTTTTTGAAATTATCAAAATTCTACAGGTAACTGCCATATATGTATAGAACTGACATTTCTTCCATGCCAGGTTACCTTACACATTGTTTATTCAACAGGAGTTTGAAATCATTGACTTCTTCCTGGGACCCCAGTTGAAGGATGAAGTGCTCAAGATCATGCCTGTCCAGAAGCAGACCCGTGCCGGTCAGCGCACCAGGTTCAAGGTATGTGAAAAGTGGCCTTTAGACCATGAGTTTGGATTATAATAGTATTATTGTAATGGTACTATTTTCCTTAGCTTTTTTTATTCTGTACAAGTGATGCACCCTCTAGACAGCCCCGTGACCAGGGTATCGTGCAAACACAAATGCCAAACCTAGCGTTTCCTACCTTGAATTTTACTAATTTACCTCCATTTATTAATAAGTACTTCATGCCAATATAGAAAATGGACCGTAAAAAAGTCTTTCTGGATAACTTTTTAAAACTGTTTCTTTATTTTTTCTATCCCCCACCCCATCCCATTAGTTTTTTCAGTAATTTTTTATTCCTCCCCTTAATAAACCTTTTCTTTCAGGCCTTTGTTGCCATCGGTGACTACAATGGCCACATTGGTCTTGGTGTAAAGTGCAGCAAGGAAGTGGCCACTGCTATCCGTGGTGCTATTATTCTTGCGAAGCTCTCGATCGTGCCAGTTAGGAGGGGCTACTGGGGTAACAAGATCGGTAAACCCCATACTGTTCCATGCAAGGTAAGTCTTAAATATAACTGTTTCCACAAGCTTAGAATTATCACATGCATGCACAGTAACAAGTTTGATGCCATTATATAGAATTCTTCATGACTGAATTCATAGAATTTGCGAGTGATATTTGGATTGTCAAGTTGAAGCATGACTTGAATAGAAAGTATAATGGTAAGGCAGTAATCCTTTTCAACCAAATAACAATATTTAACATTACATCTGACTAACAAGTGTTGTGTGTATTTAACCCATGATTCACCAGCATTCAATTCCATGTGGAATAGTTTGCTTTAAATATATGGGAGATCAAATGTTTGTCTCGTGCTGTGTTCTAATCATAGTTCATATGCCCCGTGACCTTCAAACAAATGACTGTGAAGGATATGATTAATGAATTATACTTCTCTTGCAAGACTAATCATTGTTTGACAAATGGATTTTGATGTCTAGCACAATTGTTTCAATTATTAACCATTGACAAATAACTAATTTTCTTGAAATTATTTAAGTGACTTCATAGAATATTTTAGATTGTTAAAGTTTTGTACCTAGTAGTTCATACCTTTTTACTAAGACTTCCTTACCTTACAGGTAACTGGCAAGTGTGGGTCTGTAATGGTGCGTCTCATTCCTGCTCCCGTGGTACTGGCCTCGTAGCTGCCTCTGTACCCAAGAAGCTGTTGAACATGGCGGGTATTGAGGATTGCTACACCAGTGCCCGTGGACAGACTGCCACTCTCGGTAACTTTGCCAAGGCTGCATATGCTGCCATTGCCAAGACATATGCTTACCTTACACCAGATCTCTGGAAGGAGACCGTCTTCACCAAGTCTCCATACCAGGAGTTCACTGACTACCTTGCTAAGAACCACAAGGTCAGCTCTGAGCAGCGACAGGAAATGAAGCTCTATTAAGTAAGGTGTAGTGCAAATAAATTGTCGCTTTTATGTTGTGTTTAAATATCCACTATTTTCTAGATGGAGAGTTTTGAAAATTTTAATGGCGCATCCTGAGATTTATTCATATTGCTTTTAAGAATTTAATTTGATGCAAAATTCCAATAGAAGATGGTACTTTCCTTCTGTATGAGATTTAATATTTCTAGAGGAAGTTGTCTTCCTTCCTATATTTAAAATGTGTTTTTTATGAAAGCAGTTTTGGAACATGGATTCCCAAGGCAAAAAACTGACCTTTTTAATTAAGGCAGGACAACCCATTAACCGTTGCACCTTTTGATATAGCTAAGCTGTCTTTTTCATGACTTAACTAGCCTACATCAGAAACTTTGAATTTTTATGTGATGACTTGAGTAAAAAACTGGTCACTTGGTCTTCAAGTTACTTTACATAGTAAGTATATTATATAAGTGAATGAATGGTTTACATCACCAATAGTGCAATAAGTATACAAGATAGATAGGTTATAACACACCTTTGGTTAAAATCTTAATGTCTTTAAAATGACAAGAAACAAACGAACGTAACAACATAAACAAAAGGTCATGGGGTACATGAAAATGATCTGTGCTTAAATACCTTGTATGCATACACGGGAGTCAGTGAAAATTCGCATTGTGGCCCCGTAGAGTTAAACGCCGAAATTCCGTAGATGTAATGAGATGAACATCCTAATACTATGACACCTGGCTGCACTGAGAAAGGGACGCATACAATACCTGTCCAACTGGAGAACGGTTATTTTTTCAACCAATATACGTAAAACCCCATTAGAACAACACTAATAGGAAATTAGACAATTTTACATCAAATAAAAGCATTTTGTACATAATTTGTCATGTAAATTGTATAAATAATGAAAAGGGAAAAAGATCGCAATTATTAGGCCCTTCATATTTTTATGCAGAGCACGCACATTTTTAGTCTTATTTTAATGTATTATGGCTCATTCTGTAGCTGAATAATAGATCTATTAGATGTTGCAATAAGGATTTGCAATATTTTCATGTGCTTATAAAAGTGACATTTTCAAATCCACCCCAATCCCTGCCCATTGTTGGCGTGGGGGGCTTAGGAGACAGACTGAGACCCAATGCAGGGATCTCCCCTGGTTAGGGCCTCAGCCCTTGACTCAACTAATTTTGCATGGTCTTTTCCCCCTCCAGCTTTTTGTTTGTCCCTTCTTCAACCCCTTCTACTATCTACTTCCTAAGGTTTAAGAGCCGTGCTGAAAGGATGAAAGACTGACCTTGCGCCAGTCCTGAACGGCCTCCGGGAACCATGGGCACAGTAATCCCCTGATTTAATTGTCTAGCCCTTACCCCCTACAGAGCACTGGGGGGTGGATTGTTTGTCCCTTTACATAATCAAGGCTTCCCATGGCCAGTAATTAAGATTTAATACTCCTATTAGGGGCAATGAGGCTTGCCCCCTTCATTAAATAGCCCCACTGGCTCCCCAACTCCAGGCTCTCCTTTGACCACGACTCCGAACACTGAAACTACTACCCACTCCTCAATGCCTACTAGTGCATTACCCACCCAAGCAGAGACTCAATCTCCAGAAGACATTCCTACCCTCCCAACTTTCTCAAATTCATCAACTCTATCCTACAACCTTCATCAAACACTCCAACCTCCCTTATTACTACCTTACAGCCTTATTCTCCATCTCCATAATACTACCCCCCTTAACCAATCGTGCCAGGTGTCATATATGAGACACCTGAAAAAATAAACATTGCGGGTGTCTCGCCAGTGTGACGCTGTATCGGGTCTGTGCTCCGACGCAACAGTGGCGCGCGGCCAGCGGAGGACAGACTCGGGAAGCTCCGCCCGCTGATTTTGTAGCCGTCCGGAATTTTTTTTATTTTGGCTACAAAATGTACCCGGCGTGAGTGGGTTAACAACACTCCCGCTTCCACACACACCCGTCTTTCTACCACCACCAACCCTACAAATATCTTAACTACTCTATTTAGTGCAGCTAAATGGGCCCGATTTTTTTTATTCCCCCTACTGCTCCTTACTCAGGCAACACTTCTCTTTCAACATTGTCTCCAAAAACATGTAGGCAGAGTCCCTTTCCGTACCCAACGTGATCGCATCCCATCTCGTAACAGTCAGATCTGAAGCTGCTATAGCATTATCAAAACTAACTGATCTCTCTGGCAACCCCATCCCTGCAGAACCTCATCCAACTCTTAATACTTGTACCAGAACTGTATCTCCCCAGCAAACTGCCCTGTCAATACCAAAGATTACTCAGATTGTGGAGAAGACTTGCTCGGCTGCCTCAAAGACCAGGACATGATATCAGTACATTGCTACTCCATTCCTCCTAGAGGTCATCGAAAGAAACCCACCAACATTGCCAAAATTACTTTCAGTACCTTCCCATTTATATCTACATTGGTGGACAATCCCTCCCTGTTCAACCATACCAACCTCTCCCCGTCAATGTTAAATTGTTGGCGATTTGACATCCTGCCAAACACTACCCCCTCTGTGCCCAACCCGGTCATAACAGATCAAACTGCCTTGCACAAACACGCACATGTGCTAACTGCGACGGCCCCCATAATGCATTTTATAGAGGCTGTCCCACCTACAAATTCGAGTCTGAGGTAGCAGCTCTCAGATACAAAAATGGTCTCACTCTACGTGAAGCCAGACAGGAAGCGTGCTGACAAGGTTTCTCTTTTACTCCTTACTCCAGTAATGTCGCTCGCTCTACCCCTCCCCTTCCACCTCAAATTCCACTTCTACATTCAACCTCCCCCAGTCAAATTCTTTTGCCACTAAATCCAGACACCCCAATCTCAACTACAGCCCCAACACTATCCCCTCTCCCTCCCTGCACTACCTGCAGTAGACAGACTAATTGTTCCACCCATCTCCTACAGCACACTCACCTCCACCTACCTTTACCTTTACTCCTCAGACACCAGTCTCCTCTTCCCCCCTTCATAAGAAAACCTTTGTCCCACAAAACTCTCCAACCAACTCCACTGCAGCTATATGCTTGAGACACAAAATTCCATAACTCATGCTCCCTCCACACTTGAAGTGATTGCTGATATCCATACCCCTCCTACTCATATTCTCCCTACACCCCTTCCTCCTACTCCCTCTCAACACTACCTAACTCCCTCAATTCCGTCCACCACCGATATCCATCCTCCTGAAATCCATCCCCCTCTTACTCATTGGAATATTCACGGTTCCTGTTCTCACAGACCAGACCTACGTCATATCCTTGCTTTTTATAACAACCTGTTCTCCTTCCACAGACATAAATCTCCTTCACTTGATCTAATTCCCTTACCTAAACCACCATAACCCTTTCCCACATCAACCCCCTTACCCATCTTCAACTTTCCATCATTACTCTAGATAGTTGACGCATAGCAACTATCACCTGACATCACCCTTTACTATACCTTCCTATAGTGCTATATGACCTTAGATGTCTAGCAGATTTATTTCGCTTTTAACCATTAACATTAACCATATTTTCAAAATCTCCTATTAGGGTGTTTTAACAGTCACCTTCGGAAAATATTCATAAAAAAAAGTAAGGTTGACTTCTCAAAAATGGCTTCTGCAATAATAGTAGAAGGATTGTTCTATTCAGACATGAAATCTGAATGGCTGTATGAATTTTTTTTTTTTTTTAAGAAATTTTAAAAATGGTCAATGTACGCCTATAAAAACCCCAGATCACTGCCACCACCCTACACAATACGTAAGATTTTGAGATCCGTGCTGGCAATGTTCAGAAGACTTCGGAATGCAGGTAGATGATAGAGGATTATGGTGTTGGAAGACTAATCTTATACCTTGTTTTGTTGATACCAATATAGTCATGGAAAGATGAAGAAAGCAAAAAATGTTGATATCTCGGTACACCACCTTTAGGGGTGGGTAAAAGGATTCTGGGCACAACATATGTCCAAAATTAACATATATGGCTCATTTTGTAAAAAAATGAAATCTACAACTTGATCATTGTGGATTTTGCAATTTTGCCTGTGCTTCTTGTGAAAGTGAAGAAATGTAAGAAAATTTTTACTGTTTTTGATTTTCATGAAGTTCCCTACTTCAAAAATTCACAAAAAAACTTGAAGTTGAAATCAAAAAATCTACAATGATTAAATTGTAGATATTGAATAGTTCTAACAAAGAATCAAGTAAAATTGAATGTCTTATCGTTTCTGAAGTCGGAATCCTTTTACCCAGGTGCTGCATTTTCAACATGGCGACTTGCATTTTTTAGTTTTGTCGATAAATTATTAAAAAACTGTTTGGCTGATTTTGAAAAAAATCGACCACAGGCCTAAATATAAGGGTGTGAGTTTCATCAAAATCGCCTCTTTGTTGTGGGGAAGCTTAGGAGATGAGGACTTGGGCCTGTGCAGGAATCGCCCCGGCCTTGGACCTCAGGCCTTGACTAATTTGCATGGTCTTCACATTCACCATACCTAGCTTCTTCTTGTAGTATGGCTTAGGAGACGAGGACCGAGGCCCAATTTAGGGGATCAGCCCAATCTTGGGCCTTGGCTCTTGCCTCGACTAATTTTGCTTGGTATTTTCTCCTTTCCTCTTCCGGATCTTCATTGCTTCTATCCCATTCCTAAGGTGTGAGAGCCGAACTGAAAGGATGAAAGACCGACTTCAAGTCAGTCACGAATAGCCTCTTGGAGCCATGGGCATGGTAATCCCTTGATCAGTTGTTTAGCCCTTGCCCCTTATGGGATCCTGAGGGGTAGACTGTTTCTTTTCTCGATTTTATTCAGGTTCACCATGGTCAGTGAAGATTCTTTACCTTTAATAGGGGCACTAAGGCTTGCCCCTTTATCAACTAGCCTATCTGAATTTGATTTTGATGATTTTCCAACCCCTGCCCTCCTTTTGACCACGGCTCCAACCACTGATACCAATACCCCTCTTCGACACTTAAAAACAACTAACCATTTCAAAACGCCACAC